AATATATTGATGTTCATTGTATTTTCCTTCAATTATACAACAACACAAAAAAAACACTGAGGTTTCAACACACCCCACGAATGAAATTACCACTTTCTAGTTGAAGAACAAGAAAGTCAGAAGGGTTAAGAATTCAATTTAAATAGCAAAACTCCATATTGAAAATGAGATCAGTGGAGAAAGCCAGCTAGATGGTTAGGTTTTAAAGAGAGTTGTAACTCCCAAGTTACAACCATACTCTTCTGTAAAAACTCCTTTAGTTAGAGACAGAGTAATAAACAATTACCTTGTTCAAGTGGTATTTCTATGTATACTCACAGCCTCTTTGTCCACAGAAGATGTATCCCTAACACTTGTGAATATCTCAGTACCCTAGGTTTTATTAGGTTTCTGCTTGAACAATAACTACAGCTGTGCTGCCCCCTGTTGCCATTTCTGTGACAACAGCTAACAAAGCTTATCCTTTAACCCATTCTTATTCCTTCAACTATTGTCTGGATGTTACATAAATGGAGCCTAGGTCCAACAGGAATGGAATGGGATCAAGACTGCAAAACTGGTTCCTACTACACATGTTATGGCTTGGGTTAACAAATTCCAACCTTTATTTCTAAGTGTTAGAATCCACTAATGCTTTTATCATCTTACCCTTGTATCTTTCTTCCAAATAGAAGTTTAGTGCTAGTTAGGTGTGGATTACAAAGTTTCATTACACTGATGTTACTACCCCCCAGTACACTTACAACTTGCATTTTCACACATCTTTAATTGCTTCTTATGTAGAAACAATATTAAGGAAACATTCGGTAGAACTGTATGCTTATTAAATACTTCATTCTGCATCTCAAGCTGTTCTGCTTGTTTTCTGGACAGGAAATGGCTTATTTCATGTGTGGGCACTATGACCATGTTACATGGCAGCAACACACTAGACTTCATCTGTAGTAAACCATGGAAAACCACTTGTGTACATAGGGGTACTGTGACTTCCTATCCCAAATACATTCATGCAGTCCACGGTTTTTTATTGCTGTCTGGTTGCCATTGGATAACTCTCCCATGAAATTTCACCAGTTGCACAAGAAAAACTGAAAGATAAGCTCTACAGTATATCCATCCAAGGATGTTAATGCCAGAACCAAGGTTGGTGACAACTGCCTTTGTTCTGTGAGCTGCTACAGTAGGCTTCTTCCTCTCTTATGGCTGATTTGAAGCTACTACTTTAAAAAGGTCTCTCATACCCAGGTGGTGCCTCATAATTTCACTGTATAGTCTATAGCCATTCCATGCTTTTGAATGAGGATATCCTTTGGATCCACCAAAGCCATTGTAGGGTAAGCCTTACTGTGGAAAAAGCACAGATCATCTGCATAGACTGATAAACTCTCTGTGGTACCTTATGTCTGAGTCTAGTACTTGGCCCAGTGGATTATTAAATTTTTCACTGGGTTAAACCTTTGGTGCAACTGTTTCAAAGTCCCAAAGTTCTACCTTACTCAGATGCTCAGTGAAGTCTGTGATCAGGTTGTCTAGACTCAAGATCAGGCACTGTACATCCTGTGGTGGACATAGTTTTCTTGCTGTTTTGGGTAATAGTGTAGTATATTTTCATCATTGCTTTTTCTTAAGACTGAGCACTTGCCACTTACTTAAAAGATATAACTTGGTCACATTAGATATTTATGAGATCTGATTTAAACACATTTCCATTTATTTTGTTAAACACTGCTTATACAAATATTTAGTAAAAATCATGGAGAAAAAACACTAGGAAAAATGTTACAATGTGTGATAGGCTAACTTATAATTTTTGTATATTATGCATGTCATTGAGAAAAATTGAGTAAATAATTTTTGCTACCTACACACTAGAGGTATTTGAGGAGAAATTGTGATGGATTATTTTTTTTATTATTCAGACAGCAGCCTATTAAATAAAGATATTTCTTATCTTTTAGTATTATTGTTATATTATGTTTACTATTCATTTTAATAACTGATTTGCTTAAGCAAACTGATTGTAAGTATCAAGTCTTGCATTAATAGTCAGAGAAGGCAAATGTCATGTGAGGAGTAAAATCATGCATACTGCTTATTTTTATTTCTTAGTTTTTTTACTGTAGCTAGAATTACAAAGCAAACTTAAATATAGTTGACAGTCCATATTTTAAGTATTGTTCAGAAATTGGACAACAGTGTTTTTTAGTGCTGCATTACTACATTACTTAATTTTTTTATTTTTTTTGTATGATAATCCAAGCAACTACATCAAGCCAAATAAGGCATGACTCGTTACCTGAAGGAAGCTCAGATGAAGATGTTGAAAGATTTAGGAAAGTAAGCTATGGTAAGATTTAAATTTGCATTCTGTGTATAATTACAAATCGCAAAAAATTTTATACCAATATACATAAAAAAATATTATTTATTTTTCTTGACATTAAGTTCCATAATTTTTTATTTAATGCTTTTTTTAGGGATTAATGATTACAAATTAAGTATATCAGTTGTATATAGTTTTGGGGAAAGTACTTAGCATTAAAGATAAGAATATTATAAAAGAATGTGAAAAGTTAGTCATAAGACATTGCAGTTCAATATAATTACATAAGATATTCAGTCTTTATTTTTTTTAGTTCTAAGGTGGTGCTTACAAAATTAAAGACTTTAGTTTCAGTACAAATCTTCTAAATTTACATACATGATAAAGGTATATCTGGTAGTACTTTGACCAAAACATTCTTAAGTATACAACATTTTGCTCCAAGTTTCATGATGAATTTCTGAACATTAACACACATAATTGTATGGAATATCTTATTTTTAACTAGATTTTTTTTAAACATAGTACAGTGGGCCGGCATGGCCAGATTGTTAGGGTGCTTGCCCTTTCAGCTATGGGGGCATTATAAAGTGATAGTCAATCCCACTATTTGTTGGTAAAAGAGTAGCCCAAGAGATAGCGGTGGTGCCTTCCGTCTAGTCTTACACTGCTAAATTAGGGATGGCTAGTGCAGATAGCCCTCGTGTAGCTTTGCCCGAAATTCAAAACAAAACAAACTGAACATAGTACAGAAAGCTGTATTACGAGTAAGAAGTATTCAAACCATGCTGGTTTAAATGGTTACATTTATGTATGTAATAGTGTAATATACATGCATTATTATGTTATGTTTGAGAGATTCATATTCTTAAATTTGATAAATTGTTTTAAGTTTTCAAGATGAGTGTGAAACTACAATGAATTATAAATGGCCAAAGTGCCTCTCGTGTAGCAAATGCAAATTAAGATATAATCACGTTTCATTCATTTTTTTG